AAGCATATAGTTTTATATGGACTTACGATGAAGCCTGTATTTACAATAAAGTGAGTGGGAGCACTACAGCCTTTCTGATTAGTATATGTGAGTGACATATTGTTGATCAGAAATGATGTAGAATTTTTCTGCAAAGCATAAAGGAGTGTTTTAAAGGAGTTCTTTAAAAAGAAAATACCTCAGTAAAAGCTACTTACATATTGAGCATCAAGATCTATTGAGATAGGTCAAGACGCTTGATAAGATTTTCAATGAGTACATACCTTGGCAAGATTTTGAAATAGTTCAAAATGGAACAGTCAAAGAAAGGGTTCTTGCCTGTGTTGCAAAGGTATGAAATTGAGTAAGACTCAAATCCCGACCACAGCAGAAAATAGAAAGAGAATGAAAAGTCATTCCCTATGCCTCAGTCATAGGTTCTACAAAGTATGCTATGCTATGTACCAGACCTATTGTATACCTTGCTCTGAATTTGGCAAGGGAGTACAATAGTGATCTAGGAGTAGATCACTGGACATTGGTCAAGAATATCCTTAGTAAGAACTAAGGAGATGTTTCTCGATTATGGAGGTGATAAAAGAGTTTTTGTAAAAGTTACATCAGTGCAAACTTTTACACTGATCCAGATGACTCTAAGTCTCAACCTGGATACATATTGAAAGTGGGAGCAATTAGCTAGAGTAGCTCCGTGCAGAGCATTGTGGACATAAAATATTTGCAAAATACATACGGCTCTGAATGTGACAGACCCGTTGACTAAGCTTTTCTCACGAGCAAAACATGATCACACCTTAGTACTCTTTGGGCGTTAATCACATAGCGATGTGAACTAGATTATTGACTCTAGTAAACCCTTTGGATGTTGGTCACATGATGATGTGAACTATGGGTGTTAATCATATAAAGATATGAATATTGGTGCTAAATCACATGGCGATGTGAACTAGATTATTGACTCTAGTGCAAGTGGGAGACTGAAGGAAATATGCCCTAGAGGCAATAATAAAGTTATTATTTATTTCCTCATATCATGATAAATGTTTATTATTCATGCTAGAATTGTATTAACCGGAAACATGATACATGTGTGAATACATAGACAAACATATAGTCACTAGTATGCCTCTACTTGACTAGCTCATTAATCAAAGATGGTTATGTTTCCTGACCATAGACATGTGTTGTCATTTGATTAATGGGATCACATCATTAGAAGAATGATGTGATTGACTTGACCCATTCCGTTAGCCTAGCACTTGATCGTTTAGTATATTGCTATTGCTTTCTTCATGACTTATACAAAGTTCCTACGACTATGAGATTGTGCAACTCCCGTTTACCGGAAGAACACTTTGTGTGCTACCAAACGTCACAACGTAACTGGGTGATTATAAAGGTGCTCTACAGGTGTTTCCGAAGGTACATGTTGGGTTGGCATAATTCGAGATTAGGATTTGTCACTCCGATTGTCGGAGAGGTATCTCTGGGCCCTCTCGGTAATACTCATCACCTAAGCCTTGCAAGCATGTAACTAATGAGTTAGTTATGAGATGATGTATTACGGAACGAGTAAAGAGACTTGCCAGTAACGAGATTGAACTAGGTATTGGATACCGACGATCAAATCTCGGGCAAGTAACATACCGATGACAAAGGGAACAACGTATGTTGTTATGCGGTTTGACAGATAAAGATCTTCGTAGAATATGTGGGAGCCAATATGGGCATCCAGGTCCCGCTATTGGTTATTGACCGGAAACGTGTCTCGGTCATGTCTACATAGTTCTCGAACCCGTAGGGTCCGCACGCTTAACGTTTCGATGACGATATAGTATTATATGAGTTATGCATGTTGGTAACCGAATGTTGTTCGGAGTCCCGGATGAGATCATGGACATGACGAGGAACTCCGGAATGGTCCGGAGATAAAGTTTGATATATGGGATAATAGTGTTTGATCCCCGGAAGGGTTCCGGAATTCACTGGAAGAGGTTCCGGATGTTTCCCGAAATGTTTGGGTACGAGAACACGTTATTTGGGCCAAAGGGGAAAGCCCACAAGGTTTTTGGAAAGCGCAAAAGGAAGTTTTGCGGAGTCCAGGGGCCAGACGCCAGGGTCCCTGGCGTCTGGGTCCAGACGCCGGGAACCCTGGCGTCTGGCCCTGGAGTCCGAGAAGGACTCTTGCCTTTCGGGTGAAACCGACTTTGTGGAGGCTTTTACTCCAAGTTTCGACCCCAAGGCTCAACATATAAATAGAGGGGTAGGGCTAGCACCAAAGACACATCAAGAAACACCAAGCCGTGTGCCGGCAACCCCGTTCCCTCTAGTTTATCCTCCGTCATAGTTTCCGTAGTGCTTAGGCGAAGCCCTGCGGAGATTGTTCTTCACCAACACCGTCACCACACCGTCGTGCTACCGGAACTCATCTACTACTTCGCCTATCTTGCTGGATCGAGAAGGCGAGGACGTCATCGAGCTGAACGTGTGCAGAACTCGGAGGTGCCGTGTGTTCGGTACTTGGATCGGTCGGATCGTGAAGACGTACGACTACATCAACCGCGTTGATAAACGCTTCCACTTAGCGATCTTCAAGGGTATGAAGATACACTCCCCCTCTCGTTGCTATACATCACCATGATCTTGCATGTGCGTAGGAAATTTTTTGAAATTACTACGTTCCCCAACATGGAGAACGGTCATCGTGCGCGCAACTACCGCAACCCATGGCGTCCTCTCAGTTCATTGGCATGTCATGTTGTCCCGCCCGTCTCTCGCCTTGGCTCCCAACATCGTCCACCTCCTCCTTCAAGAGAGGGCCAAATGAAATCCACGCTCCCCTTCACTGCGCTTCACCGTGGGTCTTGGGCATCTGTGGTTTCTGCTTCTGCTAGCCCAACAACCCCATCTTCTATCGTGCTCCAGACCGCCCTTGCTGATCAGACTGAGTTGCTTCAAGGCTGGCAGGCACGAATTGAGAGCTTCCTGGAGCGGGCAGAGGCTACTTTGAGTAGGCTCTCCCTTGTGCCGGCTATGTTGCAAGCCACGCTACAACCTCTTGGTGTGGCAGTTGTTGACTCCATGGAGGACCGGGGGACAGAGCCCTATGGTTGTTTCTCTCCTCGTGTTCGGGACAATTCACCATCGGTGTCTGCTTCTTCCGTTGTGTTGCCTCCCGCTGTGGGCGAGTCCATCGTCGGGCTTGCGGCTCCGGTGTTGCAACTCATGCCCGAGCTTCAGGATATATGTTCAAACCTTGCTTTGCCTTTGTCCTTGGAGCGATTGGAGGTGGACTCGTCGACGATGTTGTGTAAGGAACATGTTTCATCTCTATCATGTGAGCAACTAAAAGTGTCGAAGTCAATTGTGTCGCTGGTTCCTGCGGTGGAGGATGTTCTGTCAGTGATTCCTCGGGTCGATGATGTTGATGCTGCCGGTTGGTTGGTGCCTGCTCCTACGAGCCCCTTGGTTGACGACAATGACACGAAGAAATTCAATGAGTTTTACGATTTTCTTGACAAATGGGTGGCTCAACAGCCGGCATCTGGCAAGACAAGTGACCTTGCAAAGAAGATGCCAAGTAAGGAGAAACCAAAGAAGAAGAAAAACAAGAAGTGTGGCGCCATCTGAAAGGCGTCTGTGGTTTCATGATGGAGGGTGGTCAGTTTTCGTTAGTGTGCTTGTTAGGAGTTTCATTGTGTTCTTCAAGTGTTGAGGGTTGCGGTTGTTGTTTGTTTAGAGGGCCGCTTAAGCGGTTTTGGTGTTTCCTACTTTGCGAGTAGTCCGCATTTGGGAGTCTGTATCGATTTTCGCCTGGTTTTCCGTAAATTAACCGGGCAATTCTCTTCTTCTTAATTAATCGATGAGGCAAATATTTTTGTCTCCGTTTCGAAAAAACATTTTGGTCACAAGAACACGGGGACTGACATGGAAGGACCATCTCAAGCCGATCAGGGGGAAGCCCTCCAAGCACAACAGACGGCTCCCGAAATCTACAACCTAACACATGGGGAAAGCTGATAGCGTCAATAACTACCTACTTGTAGCCACCCTTTTACGCAGGAAGGGGACCGAACAACAGAATAGCTACCTCTTAGCACTTGCGTGTGCACCTCTCCTTCCTCTCAAACCCTAGATTCATCCTTATTCCGAGTGATTCTTGTATCAGATATGTGTTGTCGTCTAGAGCATCGCCGGAGAATTTCAATTGCCTGACACTTTTCTTTTGATTGCACTGGTGGAACAGTCCAACCTAACAACGATGTGTTAGGTTTCTTGTATCCCTCCTTGGTCTGCCTCAACCATACCATTTCTACGTCGCTTGTGTTACATTATGCTAACTTCTGATGAGCGAGCAGAGTGAGGCCGGGGAGGGGGGGCTATCTCAGCTGTGTTATATATACCTCTTGCAAGCCGCCTCACGGGATAAGTTGATTAGTTGTAAATCCCCGGCATTTGTAACCTCACCCGCTATAATGAAGTTTGGCTGGCCGGCGGCCATTGGTTTTCCCCCCTTCGTCTTGGAGGGGTTTTTCACGTTAAATCTTGTGTCCCCTGCTTGTTTTTCGTTCTTCGTCGAGTTGATTTACCTGTCGTATCTATAATAGCTTGGTTCTCTATTTGCATTATTCAGGCTAGGCAATGTCATGTGGTGTGATGCAAACAACGTTGCTGAGCAAGATAAAAGGGTATACTTGCCTTTCTGAGAAATAATAATGTAAATTGGCACACTTGAAATCTATGCTCTTCAAGGACTTATGCCCCGCAAAGAAAAAGTACTCCATTGCGGCAGATGGAGTTCTTTTTGAATGATAATTAATAAGATAAGTATAAAACATAGAGACACACAATTATATCTGATATCATCCAACAATTATGAGTGCAATAACTTATTTATCATATTTATTTATAGGGATAAAGACAATGCACAAGCTCCATTTAACACGTCATGGTGCACAATGGCATCTTTACTAAAGATAAACTGCCACACAACTTATTATAGCCTACATGGGAATGGTTTCAACGAAAAGGCTCTCAACGGTATCCTTAAGATGGATGTTGAAGGTATATGCGTCTTTCTCAGCATAGAATAATGGCATGCTATTAGCAAAGTTAATAATCCTCCGCACCACTGGGATCTGTGCGTGATGTTGAAAGAGAGCTTGATTTAGAATTTTCCATTCATCTTCTAGCAGTGAAATGATCTTGGAAATGGCAACCGCACTTGTGACCCTGTGCTCAACCATGTAACACTCCGTTGCCATATCTCCCTTGGCCTTCCCGCGCTGCATATTTAGATTATAATAGTAATTAGATACATTATCTTGAGTTCCGGGGGTGGTTGATGGTTATAGTTTGGCCTAAATAAGAAGATGAAAGAGTATACTTTAAATGCAGCAATGTCATCCATTAGACGTGTTATCTTCCCGCATGATATGGCGACATTAGGGTAACCAGCTGCCCACTCAAATGATTCCCTCGTCACTAGATCACCCATGCCAACCATCAAACCTATGCATAATGTTGGTGATCCTATGGACATGGCAGATAAACTCATGTGATCTTTGAAGGTTGGCTTGTGATTCTGGTGTAACCATTCAACCTCTTGAAGATAATAAGCTGATAGATCTTGAAACTACATAGAAGGGAATAAATTATATACAAAGCCATCAGTATACAAAATGATAGTAATGATATAAGGCACATGGTGGTGTACCGCTTTCCGGGCATAGGCAACATGGTAGGTCTCACGAATGGCCACTTCACACTTATCTTCATTAAATATCCTCAACAATTCAATATAGAATCTTTGAAGGTAGTTGGGTAGAAGAGAAGTGGCACTCTCATCCCATCTACATGTCGAAATACATTGCATGAAAATGAGTCAATCAAAAACTAAACAGAAATTGATTCTATGTTAGTTCGTGACACATGGATGTAAATCAAATCGAAATTTAACAAACCTTTGTCTGGCCGCATTTAGCAATCGACATTCCTCTATGGTGGCATGGGAATCATATGTGTCATCCATCAGGGAAATAAGCATCAATTGCTTCGTAAGAAATATTCTGGACAATTCAAAATCTTTCTCATGGTATACCGCATAGCACCAAATGTAACCCTCGACCAGACGGTCCCGAGCATAGTTTAGCCCGACATATCTGTAAAGATCGCGCCACCACCTACAATACTTGGATTAGTCCAGGTAAAATAGATTTTCCCTAATACATTACATGATGGACAATGTCCAAACTATATATGTGTATAGGATACAACATTTGAAGGGCACGTGTTATATTGATTCCATCTTCATTGTGTAATTGAGTATGAGGAAGCCATACTTAGTGAGATATTTGAGTTCCTTCAAGTGGACATGCTGTAGAAGGTTAAAATCCAGCCTCGCTAGCTCCAACAGAGTTTGGTTATGTCCTTCCTCGTGCTTATACTCAGAGATATAATGCAGTGTTTCCATCCTCTTAAACGTCCTTGACAATGGCATGTGAAGGGCGCGTTTGACTTGCTCGGCTAAAGGGGACTTGAGAGTGTCCCTCGTCAATTGAAGATGATGCCTTGAAAAAGAGATAGCTTCTTCCAGTGATGACTCACCATGAATGAGAAGATGAGCTGCGTTGTATAGACATAAAAGCCCCTTCGGGTCACTAGTAATATCTTCCCTAAAGCTCCCATCTTCATTTTTAAATTTGTCGAAAACATCTGCAAGACAAATGTTGGCGAGACATTGTTCAAACAACTAATGCCATTTTATAGTTAGTAATGTAAGCTCAGGGTTACCTTAGTGCAGAATAATATAGTTCTATGATTTGTGAATATTCGGGCCTTGCATTTATTTATTTATAAATAGATACTCCATACTAACCTGAAGACACCCAAAGACCATGCTCCCTAAGCAAGCCAAACCGAAGGGCAACCTGATGGAGGCTAGAGCTACTGAATTCATCCTCAAAAATTTGACTTAACGTGGTATCAACATGTTTCTTAAAGTGATGATCTATTCCGAGACGCTGGACAGTGTCCAATAAGGTTATTCTTTCCACCGTGCAGTTGCAACTCTTAAACAACATGTCGACGTCCTCTTTTAATTTGTCAACTCTTGCATTCATCCATTTCTCCGACCTCTGCACACATGCACGGATGCATTGATTAGCTGGGGCAAACCAAAAGGGACAATACATACCTGAAAAGTAATAGGTATGCCATCTGTGACGACTAATATTTTTATACTCCCTTCGATCCATATTAATTGTCGCCGATTTAGCACAAAGTTCTAAATATAATTAGCAATAATTAGTATGCATAGGAGAGAATATTATATTTTTAGAACTTTATGTCTATTAATATACCATATATGCATATAAAAAGTAATGTAAAAAAAATTCTAAGTTGAGAGAATAGCTTCTAATATTGCAATGAAACAGATATCTTGGTTAGTGGTGTTCATCCCAAACCATAATGATGAGGAAGAAAGCAAATTATATGTATATGTGGGAGTAGTGTATGTGCCTGCAGTGGTTTTGGCTCGTGGTTGAGGAAGTAGTCACCCCACAGAGAGGGCCCATAGCTGGACAACGTCTTCGGAGCAATGTCATCATAGTCCTCATCTGCTGTTTTGTGTTCAATACTAGAGGATGGTGTAGCTTTCGCCGCCGCAGGTGATGCTTGGACATGGGGAATGCAGGGGCTTGGAGATGCTCGGAGAGGGAGATGAGAAGAGTAGTATCCACCCGTTGCGATGGCAGATGCGAAGGAGGGGCTGCTAAAGAGGATTGGCGGCGTTGGCATCAAACTCACTGCCATCCTGTAGTGAATTTCGTGTAGTTGTGACTTGTGACCTAGGAAGCACCGTGGTACCCAGGTTTTATAAGAGCATCCACATCCATGGAGCTTTTATATAGGAGAGATGTTGTGTACGTCTAACCTCCACCAATCAATGAACTGCCGGCCTCTTGAATCCTCATCCACACCAGGCACTTGCTTCATGTAGTAGGTCGTTGTCGACTTATAGTGTATCCTGGCCTGCGTAACCGAACCAAGTGTTTATTTTTGCTGGTTGTGTGAGACGAAGCTGCTCCTGCTGAGGGCTATTAGTTTGTAAATCGAAAAGTTCCTTCCTAGCTCGTCCTACGCGGTACCCACTGTCCAAACTGTCTGTTCACATCGTGATATCTGCGCCTGAAAGCACCACATGTGCACCGTCTGCCCCTGTCAGCTGTCAGCGTCTCATTAGCAGGAATCTGACTTGCCCCTCTCTCCTGTCTGCATGCAGTTCACTACTACTCCCTCCGTTCCTAAATATTTGTCTTTCTAGACATTTCAATAAGTAACTACATACGGAGCAAAATGAGTGAATCTACACTCTAAAATATGTCTACGTACATCCGTATGTAGTAGTCCATTTGAAATGTCTAGAAAGACAAATATTTAGGAACGGAGGGAGTAAATCTTTGTAAATGGCAGGCAATCAATCTTTTAAACATGGAAACATGTGTATCACCGCCAGACATACGGAAGGTTAGAACCTGTCACCGAACGAACTTCTGCTGGAGATGAAGGGGCATCACACTTGTAAAAAAAAACTGCGTAGGTTGCAATGTATCGATGATACTTAGACGATCTTGAGTTCATATGCTCCCACATAAACAATATATAAGAAAATATGAATGAATATTTGTGGTATCAAAGATGTTCAAGTGTTCTACGTGCGCAAAAAATTATGTCAAGAAATGGCACCTCAGGAGCTCTAGACAAAAAAAAAGGACTTTCCAGAAGGCCATTTGTCCATCAAATTTTGCATTCACCTAGCACACTCAAGCATCCTTGGTGCCAAAAAGTTCAGATTTTTTTGAATTTACTGTTCATCTAGGTGCAGAGAAACACACACCATTTGAGCCGATATTGTTGGGTAATACTCTCCTACATGGGTAAGTGTGCGCGGGGCGTGTGTATGAATCATCTGCAACAGGCGCTTCTAACTACCGAATAGGTGGTATAACCTAACCAAATGAACACAAAAACTAGATCACGGTCTACCGAACGAATGACGGAATGATCTCTCTTACTCAAGAATAAAATCTTTGCATGGTATCTTTGTCGAGTAGTCAGTCTTACCAAATATAATCTTATTGAGAGGAATTGGCGCGGAAGCGCGCATTGTTTTTTTGTCCCCATGATGAGACTATAAAACACTTGTTCTTTCCATGCAAATTGACTCGTTTTATAAGGTCAGTGATTCAAGTAGCTTCTGACTTGTATTCTTCATGTAGTGTTGCTAACATTTCTGGCAACTGGTTACATGGGATCAATAACAAGTTTAAAGTTATTCCTAGGCTGGGGGTGCTTGTCGTGATTTGGTCGCATTGGCTATGCAGAAATGATAAGGTTTTTAACGATAAAAATTCTTCTCTTCTACAGGTTATCTACAAATGTATCGGTACGCTCCATTTATAGTCGTCTCTACAATGTGTACAAAATCAAGACCTGTTTACGGAGGTGTGTACACGCTTGGAGGCCACGGCAAGGGATACTTTACCCGACATGGATGGCAGTATGATCTTCGGATTGGTCCTCCTACGTCATAGGCGTTATACAATCTCCACATGATTACTTGTATTTTGCCTTTTTTGGAACTTGAAATCAGTTATGGCTGTGTGCATCTTAATTATGTAGAGGCCGAGAGTAATGCTTAAATTTTTTAAGTAATAAAGCACCCTTTATCGAAAAATATCATGGTTTTTGCTAAATTTCGTACTGGTTATCATGATTTGAGCGACACATCAAACTATCTTTAGAGCATCTACAACCGGAAGTACCAAATCTCGATACCCAAGCGACAGGCGCGTTCGCGGACAATGACCGGATAACACACAAAATTTGTCCTCCACAATCAGATACATCAAACTGAATTCTCAAATCCATATTCTTCTCATGCAACGTACATACAAAGCTAAACACATGTCATCGGTCTACCAAAAATTGACATGCTCTACTAACTACAAACAGAGCGGCAGTGGGAAAAGTTCATCCACGACCGCCCTTGCCCTTGCCCTTTCCATCATACCTGCGGCTCTAGCGGTCGAAGACACAAAATGGATCAAGGTGGATCTGGTCACTGCCGGAGTTGTCTGATCCATTGTTGTTCTTGGCCTTCTCGTTAGGAGGCCAGCCTGGCCATGGCATGGACCACCCAGCTTTGTCATCTCCTTCACTACACTCCTTTTTGCCGCTTCTCGGCTATGCAGGCACGGAGGGCTTCCTCCGATGCTGCTTCGCGGGCTGTCGAAGCCGCCTCCGCTTGAAGTCGAGCCCGCAGCCTCGAGCATCGGGCTTGCCATGCCTCCTTTTAGGATTGGCGGCGACTCATGGAGGCGCAGTGGCCTCCATTTCAGCGCATGGCACCGTAGGGACGAGGTGCCACCTAAATGGTTCCGACGGCTCGGCGGGGTTTCGCCATGCGGTGGTCACTACTGCCGGCGAGACCGTGGTCACATGCCGAGATTCATCGGCCCTGGATCAAAGCGTCATTTGGCTAATGGATGCCCGGAGGCTCACGAAAGATCCGGGGAGGGTGCACTCCTCCTGGGAGCGTCGGAGAGCAGCGCGGACAGGCATCTACTCCTCCATGCTACAATGATTCGCTCCTAGTACTCAGATCCAGACATCTCTGAGTCGGGTCCAGTGGCCTCCATGGAGGAGAATGCCGGAGCTTGCCGGAGAGGAGGTTGGTAGCGTGGGAGGGAAGTGGGGAGTGGAATGCGGCTAGGGTTTCGTCCGGAGTGTGGATAGGGTCCAATTTATGTGGGGCTGGGTGGGCCAGAGTCGGCCGCATCCGATGTGGCGGGCTCATCCGGGCGTCCCCATGTCCACCCCACATATGGGCTGAATATGGGGAGTACCGGTCAGTCCGGGCTTTTAGGCCGGTTAGAGCAAGGACTTGGCAAATCCGAACCCTCAAACGGCCGCGGATGCGCCCGTGCGCGTTCGAGGGCATTGAATGGCTGAAATTTACTGCTCTGCATCCGGCTACCTCATATTTGAAACCTAATCCATACAAAGCATGCAAACAAGGAAATCCTACATAGATCAACCTATACTACCTTAATCCTCGTCGGAGATGTCCACTATCTCCTTGCCCGGCTCCAGGGACATGGGCGGCAGCCACAACTCCAGCTCGTGCGATTTCTCTGGCTGCCCCGCTTTATCCTCCGTGCCTACCTCCGTGTCAAGTTCGGCAAAAAGCGCGTCCGTCGCCGCCGGATGAACTGTTGGTTGGCCTCGATATAGGCCTCATCCTGGATGGACTCCAGGATGGCATGTTGCTCCTCCATCTTCGTCGCTTGGGCGACCGCAAACTCCTCCATGGCGTCCGCCATGCCAAAGCCCGCAGTCGGCACCGACTCGTCATCCGGTTGCTCCCACTCCTCCTCCAAATCAGCCACCTCCATCAGAACCGGCTGCTGCTCCGGCTCCTCCGGCCTGGCGAGTCCGGAGGCAGACTGACTGCGATGCGGGCGACGCGCCACGCCCAGATCATCTCCTCAATCCGGAATCGGCTCTCCGGTGTGAGAATAGCATACGTCATCTTCTTTTGCCAGGCCATGATGAAGCCGGACGTCGTGGGAAGAGCGGCGGAGCGGGAGAGAGGTGGATCGGCTCGGGTTGGTGGCGTGGAGAGGGAGGATGTGGATGTGGATGTGGATGTGGTTAGGGTTGGGGGACGCAGGCCAGCTTAAATAGCCGAATTTGGCCTCGGGCGGTGATGGGGTTGTGTACCTAGGGTAGGGTCATGGACCTGATCTAAGTACCTTACCCAAGGACACCCTTAGAAGAAGTCACCTTCCAGTCGACCAACGAGGGACACACTCGACTGACTTGAAGGACTCGACCACGAAGACTCACTCGACCACCAGAAGGTCAAGAGGCACTCTGCACTGCAACGGCCTATAATCAAGTAGACTTTATGATAGTAAAGGCACTTTATGTGGGGCGTTACCAGTAACACCCCAGACTTAACTCACCTTAAACCCTCTCCTACGTGGGCTGGCTGGGGTCCTGGCGCACTCTATATAAGCCACCCCCCTCCACAGGCAGAGGGGTTCGGCACCTTGCAACTCATATACTCATAATCCACTCGACCACCTCCGGGCTCCGAGACGTAGGGTTGTTACTTCCTCCGAGAAGGGCCTGAACGCGTACATACTTTGTGCTTACAACCTCTCCATAGCTAGGACCTTGCCTCTCCATACCTACCCCCACTCTACTGCCAGGCTTAGAACCACGACAGTTGGCGCCCACCGTGGGGCGGGTGTTTTAGCGATTTTGTGGAGAAAGTTGCGATTCTTCCGAGTACTTTCATCATGGTGTCTGCTGGAGTTTTGGTCGGAGGTCAAGAGATCCATCTCGGCACTCTCACCTTCATCGCCGACGACTCCGCATGGCTCTAGGAGGCTCCACTCGACGTGGATGCGCTCCCCGTCCGCGGTGCGACGCATTTTCACGCATGTGTCCGTGGCGTTCTGCTGCGGCAACCATCAACCCAGTATCGGTCGGCTCCTTTATCGTCCACCCTCCCGGTCTCCCGCCAGCGCAAGCGCTCAGGCCGTTCGAGGCTTCAGCGATGGGTGAGGCACGCGGTGGCTCGCCAATCGGCCACCACCCAAGTTGCGGCAATCGAGCCCGACGAACCTCTCTACGGCTTGTTCGATCAGTCGACTGGCTCCGTAGAGACTGCATCCGAGTGCGGTAGCAGTGATCCAGCGGCGGAAATCTTGATGGTCGACGGGCCCCACAGTCCCCCTGGC